GCATGCAAATCTATGAAGAAATGCCAAACATTATTTATTTGGCTATTCATCTTCCAAAAATGCATTAAGTAATATATGATCCAAATGACAAGGCAACTATAATTTTAGAACGTACTGAAAGACAAAAGACAACAATAACTTTATTTTTTGAGACATATGTATCAATGACAGTAGCAAGACAATATACATACCAACACTTTTACAACATTTTGTTTGGCATAAGACAAGAAAGATATAGACATTAAAAAAATATAGATTTGCTATTGAAATTTTATATTTTATAAATTTGGAAATAAAGAAATATATTATTTATGGTTTCAGTTAATACATGTTAAAGATTCACAATTATTTGAGCACTTAAAGACTATTCATGGAATTTTCCATCTAACATTTAAAAGTACATATGTAGCTTAAAAATTGCTTAAAAATGATGAAGATTGACAAGAATGTTTAAATGAGGCATCAAGAATATAAATTGGATTTCAATTGAAGGCATTATATGTTGTTTTGTTATTGTACAAAAATCCACTAAATCCATTAAATCTATGAAAAAGATTTTGAAAAAGCATCTTGGGTGATCTCAATGCCTATTTACAAAGAATATATAGAATTAGCAATCCAATGGAGGAATAGATTAAGAATTTTGGATTTTTTTTTATTGGAATAGATTTTAAAAGGCTCTGAAAGAATGCTTATATAATTTTTTCTAATGCCATTATCAAGAAAAAATTCGAATATAATTGTTAATAGAAATCAATTTATTGTTGAAGAAAAAGAATAGAAAATTCAAAAATTATAAGAAAACTTAAAGCAATATATTCTACAAATGAATCTTTAATTAAAAAAAAAAACATATGATAATATTGTGGCCTTTATAATAGAAGAATATGGATGCATGTTTTTTCTAAATGAACCTACAAGAACTAATAAGACATTTGTTTACAACACTTTTGCAACAAAATTTCATTTGATACAAAAGATTGTCATATGTATTGCACAATTAAGAATTGCAACATTACTACTTAAGGAAGAAAGAACCGCCCATTCTACATTCATGGTTCTACTAGATTATAACAAGTTTTTTATTGTTCAATTACTAAAAATTCCAACCATACTAAGTTTATTCACTAAAATTTACTTATTATTTGGAATGAACTTCCAATGAAATATTGTTATTGTCTTAAAGCAATTGATCCTTCTTTTAGAGACATTTGAAATATTAATCGTTGATTTGAAAGAACTACAATATTTTTTGGTAGAAATTTTTGCCAAATATTACCACTGATTGTGAAAGAAATTCAAGAGGAAGTTATAGCAGCATCTTTTTGATGTTTAATACTTTAGTCTTAAATTAAAAAATAAATAAATAAATAAATAAAAATCTATTCATTAAAAGAGAACATGAGGTTGAATTCAGAAGCACTTCAAACAAATATTGAATTTGTTAATTGACTTCTTCAAGTATAGAATGCACACACATATTATATATATTAATGCTAATTCATTTAAATTTTTATAGTTGCATTATTATTAATTAATATTTTTATTTGCCACATGCCAAAGTAAAAACAATACAAACTTATTATTGGATAATATAGTTATGTTTCTTCATTACATGATTTTTGATCAACAATTCATGTCTTTAGTTGATGTTGTTAATCCAAAGGTGGCAAAAGTTGCTATAGCAAATGATACCTTCTTAAGAAATAGAATCATTTTATCTACATGAAATGATGATGTAGACAATATTAATGATAAGATTATGGCCATATTTTCCAAAGAAGAACAAAAAGATCCAAGTGCCAATAAAGTTATTGTTGAAGATGGCATCAATAACAATAATGTTTATCCAGTCAAATTCATTAAGTCACTTAATCTATCTAAAATTTCCAAATTAAGGCTTTGTCTTAAGATTGAGACTTTGGTGATGCTACTAAGAAATATTGATCTTTGTTAAGGACTTTGCAATGGAATTCGATGGATAATTACATGACTAATGGATTGAGTTCTTGAAGCAAGAATTTCTTGGAGGAAAATTTGCTGAAAACTTGATATTCATTCTGTGGATTACATTAACTTCTACAACATAAAAACTTGCATGCATTTTGAAGAGAAATCAATTTCTAATCTATCTTGATATTGCAATAATAATAAATAAATTCTAAAGACAATCAATAAAGCGTATTACTTTGGATCTACAACAACCTATTTTTTTCCATGGTCAATTTTATGTAGTATTCTCTCAATGCACTTCCTTCTATTCTATTAAGATTATTCTTCCTAAAAACAACAATTTAAATTCCATACTAAATATTATTTTTTCATAAATTTTAATTAGATAAATATTAATAATTTATTTTTTATATTTATATTTTAATTTATTTTTTATATTTATATTTTAATTTATTTATTTATTGACTTTAATACATCTTTGAATGTCTTAACATATTTTATGATTTTTTAATATAATTTAATATTTTTTCATACTTTCACAAGTAGTTCCTTGAACAAAATTAGCTGCTTTTTTTTTTGCATATTATCCATGACAATGACACGTCTTTACCTATCCTACTTCATAATTGAAAGCTCCATTGTATGTTTTATTTCTTGCTATTTGTATTGAGTTTGTATTGAAAAATATTCTTTGGGTCAAAAAATGCTAGTCCTAAATTAACATGCATCAACAAAAATGAACATAATAAACATTCCAATCCTATGATTTGAAATCCAACATCAACATATACCAAATTTCAATACATCTCAACATAATCTTGGATTAAAAAATATATAATTTTATCAAATATATATATATATATATATATATATATATATAACAAATACAGCCTACTCTTCAAATGTATGAAAATGAAACCCTAAATCACTCTTCAAAATTCAATTTCCATGACAACGTGGCATCTAAACAAACCTTGATGCTCCCCTTATCTTCCCCTTTCACGCCTTCTCAGCCTTCACTTCCACTTCCATGTCAGAGATGTATGAATCCACATCAGCATGATTTGCCACGGTTGTGGACCCAGTCCCAGGTGGACTGATATTGGAGGGCTTAGTCTGGGAAAGTCTAGACTCCCGCCCACATGGCCCACACACCATTTTTTATGTTCATTGTTGCGGTTGTAGAGCTGGACAGTTCTGCCATGAATGGTCGAGTGAGTGGGGGGTGGAAACAGGTGGGTAGTTGGGTGGGAGAGGGTGACCAAACCTGGGTGAGACCAGTGGACATGGGAGGGAAGGAAGGAACACACTCCCTGTGGCTACAGGATTGATTTCCTTCCCAGATCAAGGGGGGCTCAATACAAGGCCTCCATGCAAAATATCTAACTTATATAGATATATGAATTGGCTGGGGAAGAGGGGGTGACTTGAAAGCAAAACAGAGCAGGAGAGCAGGAAAGCAATGCTACAGTGTGCATCCATGTGGAATTGCAGGCACACTGTAGAGTTTAAGATGGATTGCCCTTTGAAGAGCTCCAGCCATGTAGGTCATGCAGTAGCAACATTCTGATGCATACTTTGAGATGTTTCAAAATACAATAACAAAATCATAGAGAAAAACCATTAAAAGAATATAATTATAAGTATTTATTGGATTTTTTTTTTGTTTTGATGCAAAGTATCTCCCACAAAGAATGTTGTAATTCTATTATTTAACAAACTGATTGCATTACATATCATGTGTAGGCAGTGTTGGCATATTTTTATGTTTGAAACAATTGAAAACATGATGGAATTGGAAAAACCAAGGGATTGAAAGATGAAATACACTTTAGGATGTCTTTTCCAACACCACAACCTGCACTATTTGTTTATTGTCCAACTTTAGGGTCCTCAAGGCTGCACAATTTCACAACCCCTTTCTGACTGGGACATTTCCTGGGCATTTTACATTCACTTGTTGCTTCATCATTTTATCACTTCAAAATGGATGATGAATTTGGATTAGGGCTGAGGTGACATAGGTCCATGACTTGGCTGCTAATATATGGGTCACTATCCCCTTTACATATGCTTGTATGATTGTACTTAACCACCTGATTTAAGAAAAAAAGGATGCAATGGATGGGAAAACTTTATTAATCCAAATTCAATCATTGAAATTTATGTAGATGAGAACAAATATGATTTGGGAAATTGTTGAAAGGTAGAGATGGGTGAAGGAATGGACCACTCTATCCAATGAAGGAGTAGAAACACACACTTCGGTCATGAATGTATGAAGATAGAAGAAAAATATGTATTAGTAAAAGACAAAGGAAGACAGGGAAGTTCGTGTGAAAAAGTTGAAAGCTGAGTAGGTACGGTGGGCAGAATCTGGGCACGACTTAGTGGCGAGGGAGGCATGTTCTAATGTGGAATCTGTGCACATCCGTGATCCCTCGTAGCCTGGAATCTGAGCCCCCTTGGTGGCACCTCGCCATTGGAAGAACACGATGGCCACTTTTGACCAGAATCTTCACACCCCCCCCCCCCGAACGATCACACTACACACTCCGGGCAGACTTATTTTGGGAACGGCCAGCCTTAAGCGAGGAGGCAAGAATAAATAAACATGTATATATAGAAAAGCACCTCCAACACTGAAGGGCCTCTCACTTTCTGTCTCTTCAGAGAGTGTTGATGCATTGGAGTGGGTGATGATGGATGCCAGATTCCTTTACGCTTTGGCAGCATATAAAAATATTCATGTATATATAGTGTTGTGAATCCCCGAAGATCTTGATCCTGCTTGGGCAGAGGAGAATTTTGGAACCTTCACAGTACCTACTTTGGCTTAATTTCCTTGGCCACATGCTAATTAGGGTTTCGTGCATAGCCCTCCAATCACGGCCGCTTCGTGGGAGGAAGTAGAGTCGGATGAATAGTGGATGAATAAGGAGTGGATGAGGGCGTGGGGTGGCCTCTTTCTCTGTGGATGAGGGAGCGCGTTCCCTGTGTTGGTTAGTCGTCCGTCGGAGGTGGAGGAAAGAGGAAGAGGAAGTGGAGGGCGATGGAGTCGGGGAGGCTTGAGCGATGGTGCTTGCCCCGCGTCGTCGTCGTTGGGTTGAGAGAGTTTGCCTGCTGCCATGGGTCCCTCCCCTGGGACTCCATTTCGGCACGGGGACACGGCTGCTGCTTCTGCGCCTTGTCCGTCGATGTCTAACGACCCTGCCCTCGTGGTATGGGGTGCGGAATTCAGAGAGCTAAGGGTGTTTAGTCTGGTGAGGTGTGTCTGCTATGATGCGACGCGAAAGCCCACTCGGTTCAATTGGCTACAGCAGGTTTTGGTTATTTGGTTTTTACGTTTATGTTATTTTTATTTTTATTTTTTCTGACGTAAGGATGGTACGATAGTCATCTAGTGCGTAGAGGAGGAGAAAGTGGCTCTCGGCAACGGCAGGTGTAAAATTGCTGAGGAGTTCGCGAAAGCGTGCGAATGGAGGAGGGAGGAAGGAGGGAGGAGTGCAGGTCGATATGATTAATGAAGCTGATGTAATGGCATCTGGCAGGGGCGTAACTTCGGTTGTGCTGCGGGTGCACTTCAGGTGTCGTATTTCTGGTATGAGGTCGTTTTCTGCTCACGTGCAGTATATTCTCTGCTTATGGTGCATCGCGTCAGCTCCATATGTGAATCAAAACAGCGTGAATTTGGAAGGAATTAGCGTATTGTCGACGATTTGAGTGCTGTAATATTCAGTGGCGTTATGATACTTGTGGCTGTGAGTGAAGAAGACTCAGTGTCGAATCTTGTGATTGTGCTTTTTGCCGTTTCCTTGCCGGAAGTGGTAAGAAATGCTGCGATGAATCCAGAAGTGGTGCCCGTGTCCTCCTCTGTGTTTCCCCTCTAGTACTTGCATACAGTGTGGCCTATTCATTAGTCCTTTTGATAGTTAGAATATCGCGGAGATTATTCTTGGCACGAGAATGTGTTTCTAGTGCACCGTATTTATGGTGGAGAGTGATTGAGGATCATCGCAGCGTTTGTTCACTCTAAACCCTACATATTTGAGCGCAGTCCGTTTTCCCCTCTGCTAGTTGGCGGGGGTCTCTTAAATCCCAATGTCAACGTTGTAAATTTCTCTTAAATCGTCAAGTTTCTTGCCTTGGATAGGTAGTTCGTGTTTCACTGATGATGGCTTGTAATGCAGGTTAGTATCATCCTGTTTGCCTACCATCTAGTTCTCCTGCTCTTTACGTTGTTAATGTCGTAGCGTAAATGCGATCGCTTTTGTCTATTCTGGTCTAGCTACTTCGTAGCTATTTCCTCTTAAGGTCATCATCCCCTGGTGAAATCAATGTGTCGGAGAAGAACAACACCTCCGACGGACCTCGTGCCTTCTCAGTTCGATTTGTCGACGTAGTTGCTATCTTTTTTGGTTATTCCCTTGAGTGCTGATGCGTATGGAGCTTTCGTATTTGCGTTCTCTTGTCTTTAGTGCAGAAAGTTAGTGTCGAATCAAGTCGATTTACTGTTTCGGATACTTAAACCAGTTTTTGCACACTGATCCAGCCGTCAGATACTCCTCTGTTAAAGTTGAAGTACATCTTTGCTTCTTTCTTGCACTCTTACATTCATTTCGCTTTAAAGACAATTCTTTTGTGAGAGGAAATGGCATAGTATGACTCTCACAAACAACTTCACATGCATAGGTCTGTGATTTTTCAGTTGGATTGATAATCATGGAGCTCCTTGTGATTTTATCAGTCATTGGGACGGTTTCTCAGGAAGGGGGAGAAGAGCGAAAGAGTGAAATGGAACCATGTTCTATTGTTTAGTCTTCAGTGCACAAGGATGTTCTATATTCGGAGACTGGGGAAGGATTTGGAGTATGAGATACAAAAGGAACAGTAAACGGGGCTGTATACGCGGAGTGGACATCCTGAATTGATATGAGCGAGGACTATGCTTTGATTGCACTAGGATTTTATGAATTCCTAGCTGTGATTGACCAAGAAAGAAATCTCTATTTTTTGTTTCTAGACCTGCTGCCTGACTCTTTAAAGTAGGCATCATGGATCTGAATCAGCAAAAGGAGCCAGATCCCGAAGAGCGACAATTCTACCCTGTTCCGCATTCCCACTGGTTCCCTCGACCTATTGCTTTTAGAGTTTACACTTCATCGGGAGGAAAATCGCAGCATGATTGCGGTTCAAAGGGAGCAAGAAGACTGCACATTCAGGTTTCGCGGCCTGTAAGTTTTGACCTTACCTCGATCTCACACTGCTGGTGCTTAGTCATTAAACAAAACCAAAGTGATATAATGTTACCTGCCTCTGAGATACTGGTCTCTCCTGTTACTACCCTCTCTCGGAGTGCGAATTTATTCGGAGCCTTTTGAGGCGCACTATATTGTGATGTTCAAAATGATCTTACCTGTAGTTCCTGCATGTCTTATCAACGGCGTTTTTGTTGTTTGCAGTTACCAGTGAGGTTGACCAAGGAGATTGTGGACACGTACCACGCCTGCAATCCCAGCTTCCAGTATACAGAAAGTTGCAACCCTAAAAGATTTTTAACTGTCCCTTCGGTTGGAGTTTCTAATAATGGTTCAGACAATGAGAACCATGATCTCATCCTGTACTTTGGACGTATCCTGGCTAATGATGATAATACTCGCAGGTATGGTTTTTCCTTTAAAGTGGCGCTTGATTTATGTAATGGGATTTATACGTTTTGAGTTTTGGGAGCATCTTCTTGTTGTTTTCAGGGTCAGATGACTAGTTACTGGATGAGGGATTGTGAACGACCTGCAAAATATGGTGATGCAAGCCTGATTGACGAAGTGTGTTTCTTTCTCACAAGTGATTATATCCACTCTTCGCTGCACCCTCTCTCTTGGTTCTTGTTGCAAGATTTTATTTTTGTTGAAGGTAAAAGTCTTTGTCGGTTGCAGATATGTTGTGAAAGATCTTGTCGGGTGCGGCACGTTTGGCCAAGTGGCGAAGTGCTTAATCTTGGAGACTAATGACCTCGTGGCTGTAAAAGTCATTAAAAACCAACGTGCGTATTCTACCCAGGCCAGGGTAGAAATTGGCATCCTTCATAGGGTAATGCTTCACATGCACTCGCCGAAATAGATAGTATGGCCAAATAAGAGAAGTTCTACTTTATTGTTTTGTGGAGTTTTCTAGTCTGGTATGGATATATCTATGTCCTTTCAATTATTTCTTTCTTTACAATGGATCTTTTACGTTGTAATGGATAGGTTTGAACATCACAGGGTTTTATGTAATAGCATTGTATTAAGTTCAGGCATACTACTGCATGTAACCTCGTGCAAGGCCAACAATATCATTACAATTCTGTAATAGATGTAAACGTTCTTTGTATCTAAAAACTGCAAGGTCACTGCGTATGTAATCGGTACAGAGTATATCTACAATAGTTTCTGCAGTATTCTGATTAATTGAATAACTGATTGACTCTTAATGTCATGAAGGTTAATTACTTGCAAGCTTTGTTCTTCTTTAGCCTGCCTGCCTTCCTTCCTTCTGGTCTTCCTGTTAGTCTTTTTTGAATATAGAGGCTACAAGTTGGACTTTGGTTGTAAACATTTTGATTCTTGATTGATGAGACTAGAGCTGCCGCTATTGCTGGAAGGCGTTGCTTTATATTGTAATATTAGTGGAAGTAATCCATTAATTTAGGTGAGCTTGAACAATACTGGAGAATATTGAGCTATATAAGTTTAGGGCTGGTCAGTGGCTGTTTCTACAGCCTTGCATGAGGTTCTGGCATACCATTGTATGTAACTATGTAGACAGTGGTGAATGTTGCTTCTGGCAGCTCCAGGTCAGATGTCTCGAGCACACACGAGTGATAACAAATTATCTGATTAAAGAATATGTTCTTGTAGTTGAACAACATACGCGACAGGAGAAACGAACATCATGTTGTGAGAAGCTTTGACCACTTCAGCTGCGAAGGGCATCTCTGCATCGTTTTTGAGCTTCTTGGAGTTAACTTGTGAGTAATTATGGGGGTTACATCCTTTCAATATTCGTCAGGATTGAAAGAACCCTTTTTCCGTAAATTAAGCTGGAAGGTGGATTAATATCTAATCATTTAAATTAAAGTAATGCCTGCGATGTCAAACTGCGATTAAAATGAATAGATTTCAGAGTCGTCTTTCGCACAAGAAGTCTATGGATCGTGAAGTCTCTGCATGAAGAATTGTTGTTCTTCTTCCGGTTGAATCTGTAGTCTGTATTCTTTAGAGGTTTCTTTCTGAATGTTAATGAATAATCTTTGACCGTTCTGCTCCTCTCTAGGTTTGAACTTCTGAAAACCAACAATCTGAAAGGGATCTCCTTACAGCTAGTGCGGATCTTCACTGGTCAGGTACCATTTTTCTTCCAAATTTTTCGGTGCCTATAACGATTATTTGTATTAACAGGTTTACAGAGTGGTGACCATCTCAGTAATACCTATTTCCTTTCTCCATCTCGGCACTTTTGGGTTACTTCTTTGGCTTTGATCCTATGTTTTTTGAGTATGTACAATCACTAGCGTTGTTCTACCATTATTTGGTGTTTCTCCTTATGTTACTTTACAAGCATATGCTTGATGATTACATGGTCACATATCTAATCTCTTAAAACGTCTTCTTGCTAGTTGCTGGATGCGCTAAGTTTGTTACATGATGCACGTGTAATACACTGCGATCTCAAGCCAGAGAATATTTTGCTGTCTAGGTACTATTTTTACGATGTTTATTTATTGCACATTTAAGAACAGTTTTCCCAAGCAAGGGATTTCCTAGTGTTACGATAGTTTTGTATGACTGCAGAAGACAGCATATCAAGTACGTAATTGGCTTGATTTTGTTGCTATTGACGTACTCTTGTCACATGGTTTTGCAGTAGTGTTGACTATATAGCACTGGCTACACTCATAGGTAATTTGATAGTTTTATGACTCTAGTAGTCGGTTGGTTGAATGCCAGTTTGCGTACAGCAGAGATAAAGCTGATTGACTTTGGGTCAGCATGCATGGAAGATCATACAGTTTACTCGTATATCCAGGTACATTCATTTGCGATATTATAGCTAGTAATTTTCTGCCATACTGATTTACGCAGTGGTAAACGGTGGTAATGAATTTTCGTATTTTCAGTCGTTTTGCCACTTCTTTTGACCTACAACAATATCCTAATATTATTGCGTGATTTGTGCTGCTTACTACAGAGCCGATTTTATCGATCACCAGAAGTTGTACTTGGGCATCCATACTCAACAGCGATCGATATGTGGTCTTTGGGTTGTGTTGCAGCTGAGCTGTTTCTTGGGTTGCCCTTATTTCCTGGGCAGTGTGCGTATGATCTCCTCCGTTTTATCATTGAAAAATTAGGGTATGTTTTTTATTTTTTATTTATTTTCTCTATCATTATTCTCATTTGAGTTGCTATTATTAAAAATTACCTCTTGTCCTGTTCATGTCCTGTTCAGCCTCAGTTGACTAGTCTTGCATTGTTGTAAGACACAGAGGATGGTGGTAAGGCGCAGAATTTTATCTCGTTGTAATTGATGTTATTTTATTTATTTATTTATTTTTCTGTTATTGGATGCCATGTAAACAACTCAAATGCATGCAAATCAGTTTCCTAGTGAGTATGTATATTGCCCCTCCTTTTTTTTGCTAAATTTAGTTGTTACATCGTATTCCCGGCCTTGCTTGATGTGCAGGAAACAACCTCCTGATCACATTTTACAGAAGGCAAAGAATACAAATAAGTATTTCAAGTTAATAAGTGCCGCTCCACATCCGGAAAGTGGCCACACGAGCGGAAATGCATCAGTTTATCAATTTCTCACTCCGGAAGAGAATGAGGCTGTGAGTTTTTCAATATTGTTGTTGCTGTTGTTTGTTTTATTTTTATTTTTATATTTATTTTTTAATTTATGTATGTCATTACCTTTTTATTTTGCATCTTAGATTGTAATGTTAATTTGTGCAGAGAGAGAAAAGTAAACCTGCTATTGGTAAGCGTTACATATCTGGAACTCTCGAGAAAATGATTATGACCTATCCGATGAAGTCAGCTCAGAAAGAAGAAGTGGAACGAGGTACCGCGTCTTCTTTGTTTGCATATTCGCAATGTCGAATTGCTATATGTTCTTGCACTTTGGCAATATTTTTGGTTTGATTATTCTTTCAGACAAATTATTATTTGGACTCGATTGCACACCTGAGTGCTTGTTGATAATTATCAGGCCAGAATCTAATCACAAGATTCTTGCAATGCAGAGAAGTTCAGCAGGAAAGTTTTCGTTGACTTTTTGAAGGGGCTAATTGAAGTGGATCCTTTCAAGAGGTGGACACCTTATGAGGTGTGGTTCTTCTCTTCTTGTACCACCTTTACTGTTTCTCGGTCTACAAGATCGCTCCTTCGCTGGTTCTACACTTCAAGTGATGTGGGTTTGGCATGATTTTACTGTAGTCCTACGTCTATATGATAACCTCCTGAACTTATCTTTCAACATCATCTGACAAAGGTTCCCCCTTATCATCCTGCATTAACAGGCTTCCCAACATCCTTTTCTTACTGATGGCCCTTTTACTGGCCCCTTTAAGCCAAAGAAAGAAACAATATCACGTGTGGTAAGTCGTACCTCATTCTTTGTGCTGACTCAGTTGTATCTGCCCCCTGAAGTAACTATTTTGATGGTAAAGAAATGGTTCTTCCTTGTAGTCCTTTAGTTCTTTGCATTTTCAACAAGGGGATTAGGGACGCCTGTGAGGTTAAAAGAGTTCAGTAGTCTTAATATTACGCCAGGATGAGTTATGATTTGGTTATCTGCTCTGCAGCCTACTGATTCAAGAGTGACAATAGAGCACAAAGTTAGTTCAGGGCACTGGATAAAGGCAGGCCTCTCTCCTCATGTGAGTCATCAGACCTGTTGTTAACGTATAGTTTTGAAGTTGGCTGCCGGTTTTCGGGAACAATTGTTGGTTATGGGTCTTCAAGATGTACCGATTGATGAAATGGTCAATATTGCTAAACTTTACAGACCATGTGTGAGATTCCAAGCGTTTTTATAATAATCGGTATGAGTTTTTTTTGTTGGATAACAGATGTATTTTGGATTTTCTAACTAAAAGTGCTTATTTCTGCAGGTTGGCAAAATGAGCTTATCGTCACAGTTCAATGGTAGTCAACAGTTTCAACCCTTAAATATGGCAGGTAGTCCAGCCAGTTTTGGAAGCTTCGGGGACAACGCTGCTTTGGGTAGTAGCTTTGGAAGTATAGGCGAGTGTGGAGGGCCGTCAATGAGCTTACCATCTGGTTTAAGTGGGCATGCTGCTTGTAGTGCTAGATCACCTGATGCCAGACGGCAACACATGCAATTTATGCAAAACGTTAAAAACACTCAACTCGGGATGAGTCCATCGGCAAGTGGAATACGGCCTTCACAGGGAGCTAGTCCTTCACATCAGTTTCATATACCCGGACCTCCCTTTCAGGCCTCTCCTGGATCTCAACACATCTCCACTCCAGGGTCTCAATATATAACCTCACCAGGTATTATGAGTTGCAACTTTCATTACTCGAGCTTTTTCTTTTGTTATACACATCTGAGAGCGATTATTGCAAAGATAGGACCGTATTCTTCCAGCGATTTCGAAACTTCTCACTGTTTACAGTGGTTAAAGTTGTATGCGCAACCAACCAACCAACTAACCAACTAAATGAATAAAAAAAACAAAGGAAAAAAGAAAGAACAAGAAAAAGAGGACGTATGTTGAGTTTCAATTTAAAAGCAGAGAAGTAACAATCTCTGTTTCGTAAATAGCTCTTCGTGATTTCAGGAATTTTTTTGATGAGATTTGCATTTGATCCCCCACTGTTTTCTGCAGGCGTTTTGTACCCAGGATCTCCAGGATCAACGTTTCAGATATCGCCAGGGTCAAGCTTCCACGGCCCAGCTTCTCCATCCCAGAGTTCACCTAGATATGGCCCTCCTTCACCAGCATATGCTGCACGAGAGTTTAATAAGCGAAGAACTCCTGGGCTAGCACCTGGTTTGAGTGGGTCTGGTGCAGTTCCTTATGACAATTTTCTCTTGTCCAGGCTGCATCAAAATAATGCTGCTAGTAACAGAGATGGTGGTGGTGATAATTTTAGCCACATGCAAGGCGGTTCTCATATGAGCTCTCAATGGCGAGCAGGAAGGGCTAGTAGCAATTTGGGAGTGTTTGACCAGAACCAACTAAATAATATGTACCTCTCAGAAACATTGGGCCCTCCGTTATTTACATCGGAGACTACTACTGAAGCTGGTGACGACGAATTAGCTGGTTCCGGAGACTGGGATGGTGATTTTAGGTGGGTAGTGGTTCCTCGAACTTCAGCTGTCCTTATTATTCCTGCTATCCCCTTGGAATTTCAGAATTTTTACCCTGCTACAGCTGTACGGGGAAACCCAGGGACTCTGCCTACGTTGTGGCGCACATTTTATTGTCACTTAGTTTCATGCAAATTTTCACTTGTTTTCTTGTTCGGCCCTTTGTTGGCTAGGCATATTGAGGACTTCTCATGATTGCAATGCAGGGAAGAGCAACTTTTTGAACATGATCCTATTTCTGAATCGACTGAAAAAACCATGCCATCAGAAATTGGACCTTCAGATGGGGTGATGGGGTGTGGCGGAGCACGATTGGGGCCTGGTCCAGGTTGTGGACCGAACGCACAGGATTCTTTTCTTAGAAAAGGCCCTTTGCATGGGCCGTTTTCAGGATATGAACGAGGCCAACCCTCAAAGCATGGCTCAGCCTCTTCCTGTTCTAGTCGCCTTGGTTATAAACATCACAAGCAACCTAGTGCCCATACCAATTATGGTCATTCACCACAGTATTCTTTTACTTCTGGATCTCACTCTGGAAATAGCTCTGGGCCGCCAAGTCGGTGGCATCCTTCTGGAGAGTCTAGTAGTCATAGCTCACCAGCTGGGGTCCTTCACTTCCAGCAGAGACAACATCATCCGCATGCAACTTATCATTCGCCTGACCATCAGCAGCCGTCTGGTTCACCTCTTCAATGTTCCAGGAAGGTGTCTGATGTAGCGAAACCACCTTCTAATGGGCTCTTACCACTACCTCAGATGGATGCGAGAGGCTTTTATGTTCCGGTTGGAAGTAATGAACATCTCATCGGAACCGGTGGTACAGGCTACGTTAGAGCAGGAATTATTCCTAATGTATGTGGACTAGGCCCGCCACCATTTTTTGAAGTTGGTGGATCGACATGGTCTGCACAGCAGTCTATGTTTCCCCCAGGTCAAATTTATGCCACTGATCACCTTCTTCCAGGTGAGTATCGTGTTCGGAGATTTTTGGTTTTGTCTATGAGATCCTCAGATTTTAAATTTTATAATGAATTGATTCGAATAATACTATCTCATACAATATTTGTCTCTTCGCATGTTCCTATGAAGCTCTTGCAGTCTTAGTATACTCTGAACTTCTGTTCAGGTTTGGACATCTAGAGGAACTTATTGTTGATGGAGCTGCGTGTTTCACTTTAGCAGGTCGTAAGACGGGCCCATCTTTGGTGGCGGGGTTGAACAAACCACCAGCAACTGGCAGGGGAGCTTGCCGTTTTCCCAAGTAGCCCATGCTATGCATTAATTTTTGCTTCCAATTCCATCCTTTGTGGATCATAATTGCTGGCCGATGTCTGTAATAGGACTTTCGGAGTCGATAGTCTGTTCCTGCCGTTCCATTATTGGAGGGTCAGAGTGCATTGATGACGGGAATATGGCTTTGCTTCAGCATCTGTAGAACATAGAAGAGGTCTTTCGCAAGGGATGCGCGCTGGAATAGATTTTTCTGTGGATTCTGGCTCTTGCTAGACCAGGTCGGTATGTTTTGCAAGTTGATTGGAACTGCGAGGTTGGAACCAGTCTTGTACTGTAATATCAGGTTAGCCAGTTTAATATATCCATGCTTACGACACTTTTGACGTTTTGTGATATACAATGTTGTGTAGAGACGATGCTCTTACACAGGTCTTGGGATATCACAGTTTGTATACTTTCGATGCAGTTTTCAACTGCAGGTATTGGTGGACCTTAAATAGAAATTCACGAATTCAACTACCAATCATGCAATAAATCAACTTATCTATGCATGGACAAAGAAATATTGAACCAAACTTAAAATGCTTCAGGGTTATCTGTGCTGCTCCAAACGTGTTGGACCGCTCAGTTCGGTCTCCGTATTTTTCAGTTTTTGTGTGTCAAACATTAGTGAGTGTTGCCGGCTGCTGTTTGTCACATTCATTGTTGCTGCCTTCCTTGTGCAGAACGAGAGTTATAAGGCCACATCATAGAAGTAAGTGTGCGGTTGTCTTAGTTGTGTAAAAAGCGTTCTGAGTTCTATCCAACAGCTGTTGCCCATTCTTGAGCTTCTTCGTTATGTTTTTTTTCGTATTATTCATTTTTTTTTTGTTAAGTTCCTTACTGAATCATTCGCTTTTCGTTCCAAATGATATTTGCCTAACTTTTTCAATTGGTGCTTTCAGGACCAATTGGAATCGAACTAGAGAACCACAGATTGATTTGTTCTTGGTAACCTTCACTTCCGAATGAGTGTGTTTCTTGTTATGCTTAGGGGTACCACATGACTGTCCCTGGCACTGATAAATTTTATGCTGTCTGTCCGAGGATTCTGCTATTTTTGTCAGGTTTGGCTCGAAGAATCCCTCTTTCGTAAATTTAGAAGTGGCCACTAGAATTGTTTATTAGCCAAGGTTATGTGTGTTCCCAAACAACATTTAAAAGGTGTTAATGAAAGCAGTATTTATAATTGAAAGATATTCTAGACGGTGCAAGGGCTTCTCGTTCGACATGTGCAGTAGAAGACACAGAAAAGTGGGTCTGCTGAATGTTGCTGAAGTGACGCAAATCCATCGTGCGGATGCGAATCCGTGGCTGAGCCTAGTCTAACTAGATCGTTGCTTTCACTTTGTTCCAACCCAGAAAGGACCATTGTTCTGCATGCTCTGGGTTTCTATGTCCATAAATTCAACTGATTTACCCAGGGTTGGTTCTAGTGCTTAGCAAGAGTGACAAAGTTGCTGACATCCTTCACATACGAAAATTTATCTTTCCTTTTTTAAACTTCATATTTATTTTTATAATTATTTCCTACAGTTTAGTTGCAAAGACAACTCAAAATGTGATAACTCATTCAAAAACTTTGTAGGTTTCTCCACATCCAGCATTGGTTTTCAGTTGCGTTGATAAATTCTCTAATAAGCATTTGATTGAGGACTAAATATGAGTTTGGATTCTAAACTGCTATAATTCTACTCTCTTGGAGATTAAGGCTATGATGATTTATGTTGGTGTGTCACTTCTCCATATTCATTGCAATCAAACTTTGATGATGAATATTCTTTTCAACTTACAATTAAGTATATGAATCACAAGTATTTCTAAGTACATTTGATTAAATTAAATATTATTGTATTATTATACACTGAGCACCATGAAAAAAAAATTGTGACTGATTTTGTTGCATTTGTATAGCACAACATCAGAAAATGTACTGACATACAGTGTTTCTTTGTTTTCATTTCTTAATTTATCTTTAAAACTATGAAAAAAACACTTAAACTATTAGTTCTGTGTACATACTTTAAAATTACTACACATTGGATATGTTATAAAACTTACATTCAATACATGTTTGTATATTTTAAATGGTTTAATAATGCATATGGTAATACTTTTCATATTATGAAAAATGGTATATTATGTATTTCTTTCAAATTCGAAATTTACGTTTTAAAATTTACCTATTTATCTTAAACATGTGTTTTATTATAGAGTTTCATAATACAAATAATTTTTTGAGTTTAGAAAAAGTACTAGGATTATTTCTTGACTGAAGATAAAATTACCAAAATGAAAACGAAAAACAGGGAAGTTAGACTTCTGGATCAGAGTTATTTTTTTATTAAAAAAAAAATAGAAAGAAAAATAAATTTGTCAAAAATTTGACCAGCATAAACTTGTCAATATAATAAAAAAGATTGTTGTCACATTGTAAAGAAGATCAGAACTATAGCTTTTATTGAGTTTGAAATTTCGAAGATGTAAACTTACATTAATTTTCCAGATGTGTAAATAATGATGAAACCCAATGAAGATAAAAAAATAAATGAATAATAAAAAGGAAGGGAGAGGAGGAAACAGAAACTATTATCTGATGTTTTCTATTCTCAAAATATTTACTCATTTCAACTTTTTATTCTATATTTTGTAATTCTATATTAATTAAAATAAATGAAGAAATAAAAACATGTATATATCTTAAAAAATAATGTAAAAGGAATGAACAAGTGGCTTCATTTACAATTATAAATGCAAAAAATAGAGTAAACAAAAAAAAGGTTTTTCTTGTAAAACATGATTGACAAATGATATGAATAAATTTGGATACACCCCATATATTGAAGTACATCTATATATATGTATATATTAAAGTACATCTATATATATGTATATATTATTTTTTCGATCACAATGACTACAATTATGGCAAAAACCACAACAGAAGATCCCAAAATTGAGCACAAGGCCAATGAAAAGGAAGAGGCACTGCCACCAATCCTACTCCCCATCGGAGTCCGGCACTTGGAGAAGGCATTGCCAGCCACTCGGTTGCTCGAGAAGCAGCGCCTTTTACAATTGGTGCATGAAGAATTGGAAAACCAAAAAATAGATTTTGCGCAGTATATTAAAACCCTTCTTCCAACTCAAAATATTAAAAAAAAAAAAAAAAAAAAAAAAAAAACTTCTAAAATTTTATTTTTATTTAAACAATTTAAAACGCATCATTTTCTATTGATATTATAGAATTGAAAGCAAAAAATTCATAATTTATGGTCTGTAACTGATACATTTCTTCTTCCTTTTATAAATAACTATAATAAGTCCAAAATTTTCAAAGGATCCCTGTACAGCATCATGGAAAAAACTTAATTTCTCCATAGTTTATGTTAGTCTATATATGTGTAAATGTGTGTATATATATATATATATATTTATATACATGTATATATTCTTAAAAAATGGAAAACTTGATTTGACGTGTCTGAACAATGTGGATTGGACATTGGGTGACGAGGTTTAAGAAAGGAAGAAATTCTTCAAAAACGTGAAGATGCATTGCGAGAGAAGGACCTCAAATTGCAGGAATCTCTCATTGGGTTCTCACGGTTCTTGCAGGTTTCAACTTCTTTCATTTTGTTTTGTTTTATTTCATTGATTTAATTAATTTTTATGCATTTTTTTTCATGATGCTTCTCACCCTAAATTAATACACCTAGAGTTGCAACCTCATTGGCAATCACATGTGTTTTCTATTTCTTTTTAATGCTTTGCTGTAGGAGAATTCAATTAAGAAAAAACGTGCTGAGAAGAAATCGTTGGATGAGATTCGAATTCGACAAGAAAAGGTACCATGGATTTCCTCATAAATCCAATCCATCTTTCAATCAATCAATGTTCATGTTTTCATTGGTTGAAATAATTGGCTTAATTTAATTTTTGGAAAATGTAGGCATGTTGGAGGTGTTAAATAATAATAATAATAATAATAATCAAAACACCCACAGTTCCCCCCCCCCCAAAAAAAAAAAAAAAACAAAACAAAACAACCAAACAAAGAAACAAATTTTATGGGTCCTTGGTGTTTTGATGGCTTCTAGGTTTGTTAAATATGTTACCAAAACGTCCCATCATAGTCTTAGCAGTTAACATTTGATTTGATTTTTTCTGTTCTTCAAACTAAGGAGATGCCACATTAAATTTTTATTTTTATTTTTACGTAATATTTGTTTTATTTTGTATTGTGTTAAGTTTTTGAGGTTTTTTCTGAAAGATAAGTTTTAGTTTTAAAATGTAATTTTAAAAATTTGAGTGACAAACATTACAATATATATTTCATATAGGAGAATGTGAAATAGACCTATGTTTTTACTACATCAACCCACCCATGATGAAGAATATGGTAATTGTGGTGAATGTAGTTGGTTTTTATTGGTTGTAGATTGAATAGTAGAGAAATGAATCTAGGGATCATTGTTCTTTTTTCTTTTTTCATGTTGGTTAGAATAGGTGGGTCAATTTTGTAAAAGCTTGGGTCTATTTAACATTCTCCTTTATTAAATAAATAAATATATATATATATATATATATATATATACATATATATACATATATATTATTTTTTCATATGTTTATTTGTGATAGACTTAATAAGCTCTTTTAAATTCTTTTGTTGTGTGTGCTTATGTGTAGATAGGTCTTTGTGTGTACATTGTACAAGTTAATGTGATCATAGATCCTTCTAATTTCATATAAAAAACTATGTCATACAAAATAGTCAAAATCCTTTAAATATCATTTTATTTTTATTTTCAATTAATTGGAATAGGAGCATGAGATTTTACAAGTAGAAGAGGCATTGTTGAAGCTGAAAGAGCATCGCACCAACACCCTTGCCCATTTGGAAAGGCTCATGATATATCAAAAATATTTGGAATCTGTGATTGAAAAAGCCACTCAATTCCATGAGATCAATGATCTCATTCTCCGGTTTGAAGTTCTACCAATATTTCCTCATTTCACCATTGCATTCTTGGTTAAATTGTTTGGAAATGTTTCATTTAAACTTTGACAATAGGATTTCATTTTTAATAAAAAATATTATATTTATTTATGTTGAACACATTCTACATATCCACATTGGGAATCCTTTAAAAAATAAAAAAAATTTAAAAAATCAGTTTTTCAAAACCATAAACATGTTTTCAACCATCAAAAAAATGGATTGTGCAAGATTTTCAATTAAAGTTGACTTTTATAATTATCATTGTTATTTAACACAATTGTTATAAGGATGGATCATGTTGGTATGTTTTGACTATCTACATATCTACTTTAGTATGCAATTCATTAGAACCATATCATTCTAGAGCCACCGTAGGCAATCTTCATTCAAAATTACAACCATTCACCAACAAAAACTCAACACATGGTCATGCTTTTAAAACGTTCCTCCTCTCTTGTTAGTTTCGCTTTCTTTCTATCCCTTTCCACGCTGACAACAGTAGAGGACCTTCAACAATAGAGAACATATACTAGTAAAGACTAAACACATATATAGAATTCAGAAAAGAAGAAGAACGTTTGTTTCCAAAGAAAATATTTAAAAATAAATAAAATAGAACTGTTATAAAACTGCCATTATGATGGATCCTCATATGTATAAATAATGTTAAGATTTGTGTCAGTTTTGTGGAATTCTCTATTCCTAGCATAAACACCCAGAGCCGGAGTTGATGGTGGGTGAAGAAACAGTGTGATGTAGGTTTTTGTTTGATGGTTTGGAAGGAATTTTATGAACAGAGTAGATCAACTGGAACATGCTTTGTGATGGGTGTCGGTGTGGGGGATATGCGGCAGGCATGAGACGCTTTCGGCGAACCGGGAAGATCTGAGGCAACATCTAATCACAAGCGAAGAGCAGATGCAGGCTGTGAGGAAGGAATATCAGAGCTATTTGAAGTTCACCGCTACTGAGGTTATGATGCTCAACAACGATGTGGGTCAGGCCAAACAGCTCGTGGAGAGGAAAAAGTCCGACACTGCTCAGCTGCAGCTCCAGATCGACTCCATGCTCCAGATGGCCGCCGCTAAAACTCTCGCCTGGAACCAAGTAGTTACACAGAAACATGAATATATATATATATATATATATGTGTGTGTGTGTGTGTGTGTTTAAATGAATGAATGAATGAATGAATGAGGATGCCCTTTTATGGGTGTGTGTTATTACTGGTGTAAATAAAAAGGTGGGATAGAAGTTGGGTTCTCTTCAAATCCAAAGCTTTTGAAAGGTGAGATACCGGTTTTGAAGAAGGGAATAATTTTGTTTTGACTGTAACCCTAAAAATGGTGGAGTGCCTCTCATGGTGTTACTGGATTGAACTGCGTGCAGATCTGCATAGCGGCTGAGAACTTGTTTTTTCGAGCGGACAAGGTTTCGATCATCAGCCGACCGGCGAAGGAGAATCCCCTCAAGAACCTCGACATGGTTTCCGACTTCATTACTGATCTCAACCATGTGCACAAATTGTACAAGGGGGTTAGGGCACCGTCCCCAAAGCCTGGGATCTGATCGATCGGTATATATGTATTTAGATTGACGTCATCGTGTAGGAAGTGTAGGATCAAGGTGACAGATGAGAGCTCGACTTGAGCTCACAGGACAAAGCAAACTATTCTTCTTGTTGGCCAATAGCCAATATTCAATACGTATACGCCAATATTCACGAAATGGTTGGATTAGTAGAGATTATTGACAAACACATTGTCAAATTATGTCAGGGAATTCGGACAGCGTAATTAAATGCAAGCTCAAATCAATCAGCTTTGCGATACTCGCAAACATGTTTCCTTTGTCGCCAAACAACCAAAGCACACTCTAAGTCATACTATACAGAGCCATACGGCGAAAACAATGTAAGCAGCAAGGTTCTTACTTCAAAGTACTGGTTGATCGAATTGGACCAACGTACATGATCCAGCCCAAAAGCATTCGATTATCATGTTTTCCCCTACAAATGCGTCCAGTTGGGGTTCAGAACCAAGTGTGTGACTGTCCTTAGCCTTCTCCTAAAGGCCTTCAAAAGCTTAACTTTGACACACCAGCGTGACTTTCGGTCTGAGAATAGTTGCATGCTGTGTTTGTTATCAAATAGTGCAACCAAAAATTATGCATCTGGGCAAGGTTAGTGGCCTGCTCCAGAACTCAGAATTACATACTCTAGAACACGAATGCTCTAACCACTACAGAGTTTCTCCAAAGCTCCGCTTTCATCACCCCCACAGCTTTCTAGCTCAGTCTTTGCTGCATCTTCTGAAAAGCCCATTTCCACCAGCTTTGCTAACTGCAAACCCAGAGACTAACATTAGCAGTGGATAACGAAATATGAAAAACCTAAACTCGTTATAAACGAATTTATAACAAGAAACTCTAGCAAGAAAGATGAAGACTTGAGAATGTGGGTTAGCAGGTGAAGAATGTCATCTTCTCCTGAATACCAAGAAATTTCCTCTTAGCAAATGTCAGTCTAGTACCGAGCTGTTCCTACAAATGTCGGATATTCTTGTAGTTACTGCAAGCACTAGAGGATATAATAACATGCCAAATGTGAAGAATGTTACAGATAATTTAATGCATTACTTGGCTAGTCATATGAAATAAAACCATAAGGATGAAGGATGGAGAAAACTTCAATGTATCAAGGAAAACTCACTTGTTGTGCAACTACGGCATCTTAAGGGTCATCAGGCTCTGGGGTTGATAGAAGAGCTTGCAAGGAGAGCAAGTCGGTTTTAATAATGCGAGCTGGACTCTATTGGTCTTTTGAAATGTCTAAAGAGATGGCGCCGTTCTGACTGTTTACGTTTGGATGCCTATATAAACACAAATAAATCATTTGTTCAGTCAAGCACTAATGAATCTCAGCTCAAAGTTTGAAAGAGTACGTGTGTGTAACTATATGTATCCAAGTGGCTTCAGAAGGTCCATATTGGTTACTGAATTTGTTCCTTATTCAACCAAACCAAAACTCTACACACATAAAAAGTCCGTTGATCTACATTCATCTAAATCATGCTCGATTGACCCATGACAAGGCATTGAGCCTTTTGAACATACCAGACTTTTGTGACGAACTGCATCTTAGGTGGCTTGAAAGGATAGGCAGCTGTTCAATCCAAATGGTAGCCAACACTTAATTGCCTCAATACATCAAACAAAATAAGAACATGAAGTGCTCTCTATGCACTCGAAACTTAAAATACACGTTAAGAAGTTTTGTGTGCCTTCACATGTACAAATCATAGTCGGGCTTATCTTGATTGCTCTTCGGAATCAAATTGCAACATTGGCTCATGTTATGAATTCGTCACAGAAACTCACAAATAGTAAAAATGCAATATGAGAGAAGCATTGGTTCTGGGAGGGAGAGCGTCGTCGAGAATCCCAAGCAAGCTAATACGAGGAAGGCAACACTCACATGCACGTTAAGTCACCTTCCCAAAGTTCAATGCTCACTCCAGATAAGTTCTTATCACGTTCAATCTCCACAATCTCTTTCTGAACTCTCAACACATCAAGCATAGCGTGTAACTCTCGTTTTCTTAACAATGAAGGGCCACTCCCAGACACCAACTTATGGAGTTAGACTCCTACAATTTGATGACTATCAGTTGCGTCAGCCTTCAACTATTACACAGCCCTCAGGTCGTGATGCCGGGTGGTGGAACTATTTTGTCCAACTTGACAAGCTGAAGGAACAGCGGCACATGATGTGCTTGATCCCTTAATGTTGGTCACATCTTCACCCTTAAAAGAGATCACCTCTTATGATGCGACAACAAACACTCTCATCCTCGCAGGCTATTGAGTCCATTCAGTTCTTGCGTTGCATTGCAAAAGAGTTACTTGATTAGGTTGCAGCGGTTGCTTGGAGTTGACGACAACATGCCAGAACTTCACTTACACATGCATTGCAAAGAACTGACATTTGCTCAAATAGGCTAGGCTATTGAGGACGTTGTATAGAAATCGCAAAAAGATTTATTGCATTAACCGGTTCTGGCCAAGATTCAATTGCAAAGGCTTCAATGAAACGAATAGAGGAAAAACTAGGGGAAAATGCCTACTATTAAATTGTACAGAACAAACAGTACTGTTCAAAACATCAACGCAAAATGACTCATTCTACAATTAGAAGGTTTTGCAAAAGAATTGCAAAAAGATGCTATAATAGGTCACAACAAACTTACGTCAATTGTGACCTCAAATCTGCAGTTGATGTAACCTCAAGGGCTTGGTGACATGTCAATGCCTAAATAATCTCGGAATATACATGCCATGCAAAAAGTTTTCAATTTGTTTAGAGTCTGCAATTCTCTTCAAACACACACAAATCACGTAGATCCTCAATGGCCTCAGGATGTCAGAATGGATCGTATAGCCTAGGCCAAAACCCAAAACCCAATCCTCTGAGAAACCAACGACCCGAGAAACTCAAATTGATCAAATTTTTATACCCGCTTCATAATTTCCTTCTGACACTGGAAATAAAATTAGAGCAATGGAATAACCATCATTACAAATCAGAAGAAGGTCATAGGACTTGGCACAGCCACAGAGGCCTGTCAGATGCAAGCGACGCGCTAGAGTGAATTAAGAAAAACACAAGATTACAAAGGCTCATGTCAAATGAGCTGAAAGAAACCGGTAGCAACTTGAAAAAGGTGGACGAGGCTAAGTGTACAATCACGAAAATATTTTGAAGCACTTATCAGTGCCGAATCAGCAGAAGTAGATGAAAGGACAAAAATTTCATGAAGAGTTCAAAATATTTGAATTATTCCTCTCTATATCCAGTGAACCGGCCAAAAGTCAAGTCGGTTAACACACCTCCTTTGTTCCCTGATGCCGTGATGCCGTGGTCACACCAGACCCTTACCGTGACGTTCTTCAGGTGGAAGGGTATTCTATTATTGGTTGTCATGTGGATCCATAAGCTTCACCACGCCAGGCAGCAAGACGATGAAAATAGTTCTACAGTAAGTGAGTCCACCAAAAGTATACCTTCATATTTTTGCCTCCTACACTCACGGACCCAATCAAACCACAACATAGATAGGATCACAAAACATTTGTGGTCTACAACGCGCTATTTAGTCAGCACCCTAGACTAAGTTGGTGTGTTTTGTTGATGTCACAAGCATTCTAGGCAGCGACTCCATGATGTAAGTCTTTGCTTCCATGTCCGCAGCCTAACAAATTCTTCCAGCTAATATAATGATCAATTACTATTTATTTTTTAAATTGCAAACTAAAGATCTATCCATGTTACTACATAGTCTCCAATTACACGTGCGAAACACTCCCTGTAATTGCAAACCAACGGTTGCTGCAAATGCAACACGTTTGTATTTCCTCAGCTATTTCCCATAACAAGGTCACCTGCTATCTTAATTTGAAGATGATTGGAACTGGCATTTGTGCCGTTTATGCTTCTTTACAATTAAATGCTTACACAAAAATTGACAGAATCAACAAGAGGAGGAATTTGAGAGGAATGGCACTAACAATCTAGATTAAGACTACACCATATGGTCGTCTTTCCCTCGCTCAGTTTCGTACGAGCGATTTGCAATCCAAAACTTTGGTGGCTTTTTCATAACATGACTCAGATACTTACAATTGGAACCTAGACGCTAGAATACTGCAATACCAATCCTCAAGCTGCAATCGCAGAATCCTCGAGAAAAGAAAACAGACCACTATGCACAGACTCGTCATTTACCTAGACTTTTTTCCCTTGTCAGAGAATGACTTGCCAGTTACTAACAACGCCTATGATTAATAAATACACAGTCGTAACACACCTCTCGTCCTTCTACCACAAGCTCAAATTACCCCTTGCAAATCCTCCAAACACCAAAACGCCAAAAACACTTCAAAAAAAAACAAAAATCAGCAACAACAACAACCGCTTCTACTAATCCGCTAGCCTCCCGCACCCTAATCACGAATATTACAAAAGCTCACGACCGAAAGAAGCTCGACCGATCAAGACACTGCATCGCACAACGAGCTTCACCATACAATCTCACAGAATACAAAATTGAAGCATCAGGGAAGTGAAATCGCGATGGAATGATAGCAAAATAGCCAGAAAAAATCTTTCCTCCAAAGCTGTTAACGCTGCAGCCACAAGAGTATTCCCGGAGGTTCGGTCATAGGAGAAGCATCGGTCACAGGTTGATCAGCAGTCATACGAACAGGGCGATTATGTACTGGGTTTCATCGCACGGTCTTGGGAACGCCACGGTTTCACATTGGTTACACGGTCTCAGGCTCCTCACTGTCTCCGCTTTCGCCTTCATTCCCACTCGGTCCTTCGGCGTGGGGTTGTGATGCGTGATCCTGTGCTGCTGAGCGTGGGTTTTACCGACTTTAATCGGGCAAGGGCGTTGATGTTAACTTCTGCATCGTACTGGGAGGTTTGTCTACATCTCCGCGGGAATTTTCTGCGTCTTTTGGTGGTAATTTTGGCTCAACCGGTCGTGTTTGCGGGATCTGGTGTGCTGTGGTGTGTTGATGCGGCTCTCGGCGGTTTGGGACGATCCGTTGTTGCTCGCTGCCTGTCATGGTTTTTTAGGGTTTTAACTCTCGTGTGAGTTGATTTGCTTATTTACATGATTCGAAGTTTCACGGTGTGGTGGTTTAGGCCTTGTATACCGACACTGGGGTATTTGGTGGATTGTTCCTTGCACTTGTAGCCTGGATGCAGTGGTAGATGATGGTGATGATTTGGTTGTTGGGTTGAGAATGGAAGTTTTTTCGTCTCTCTCTATTTTGTTTTTATTTTGGATCGCAATGTGATTGCCCTGCGGGTTTAAGTTTTTGATGGCCTCTGTAGCAGAGTGCAGTGCTGTAAGTCGATTAGGTGTAACTTGAATTGTGGAGGTTTTTGCTATAGTGGAACTAGGACATGATGTGAGATATTGATTATATTTCGGAGATTTGGATTATAGCTCTGATCCGGTCTCGTGTGTTGCTCAATTACTTTACTTGGATCGTGAATAGCACATGCTAGTGCGAGGAAGTGTGGTATTCTCGCAGATTAGGGTATTTGAGTTACAAGCGGTATATTGAGAGTTTCTTCCTGTCATAATGTAGACTGGTTTTTCCTTGTGAATTTGTGAATCTCTGCTCCCTGTTCTTGTTTGTACAATTTGATTGAAGCATTAGGAAGAGTGAGGATTCCTATTTATGTGATCAGGAAATATTGTGCTTCATCACTCGTAGAATGTTGGACCCGTTGTTATTATTCTTGAGACATTTCTCTTAAGTAATGCGCACAACAAGGATAATGTACTGGTTCTACGCATCCCTGTGACCCCTTTGTCATGTACTTAATTAATTAATTCACTTTTCATACATTTAACGTGAATAGTCTGTTCTTGCGTCTTTAGTGCTGCTCTCAGGCCTGTACGTGGTACTCATACCGTAGCGCTTGTTTGGAAAATTCAGTGGATCCACAGCATGGCGTTGAGAGATAGAAGATGTAGTCTTATTCTAGCTCTCTTATTACTATCGGGATTACAAGCATTGGGAGCTCGTGTGGAAGACTTGCCTGGTTGGATGGAAGAAATCAATGAGGTGAAGGATGCTGAGGGTGGCGTGATTCAACAAGTTTCTAGGATTGATCCCACTCGTGTCAAGCAGCTTTCGTGGAAACCGCGTGCATTTCTATATTCAAACTTTTTGTCAGATGCAGAGTGTGATCATATGATATCGTTGGCAAAGGACAAGCTGGAGAAGTCAATGGTGGCCGATAATGAATCTGGGAAGAGTGTGAAGAGTGAAATTCGCACTAGCTCAGGTATGTTTTTGATGAAGGGTCAGGATGATATCATATCAAGGATTGAGGATAGGATTGCTGCATGGACCTTTCTACCGAAGGAGAATGGGGAGGCAATCCAGGTCTTGAGGTACCAAGATGGGGAGAAGTATGAGCCACATTTTGATTATTTCCACGATAAGAACAATCAGGCTCTTGGAGGTCACCGCATTGCCACTGTGTTAATGTACCTCTCCGACGTCGTCAAAGGTGGAGAGACAGTATTTCCTTCTTCTGAAGATCGAGGTGGTCCCAAGGATGATTCGTGGTCTGCTTGTGGGAAAACTGGGGTGGCCGTGAAACCAAGGAAAGGCGATGCCCTGCTCTTCTTCAGCCTACACCCCTCTGCAGTTCCAGATGAGTCAAGCTTACACACAGGATGCCCAGTTATCGAAGGGGAGAAATGGTCTGCTACAAAGTGGATCCATGTTGCTGCATTTGAAAAGCCGCGTCCTAAGAATGGTGCATGTGTAAATGAGGTCGACAGTTGCGAAGAGTGGGCAGCTTATGGGGAATGTCAGAAAAATCCAGCCTACATGGTTGGGACAAAAGAGTGGCCAGGCTATTGCCGGAAAGCATGCCATGTGTGCTAGGTAGGGATATACCGTATTTCTTGGTTGCACTCTGTTGGGTTAGGGTAGGATATTTAATGTATTTGTGTCATCATCTAAGTATTAGGTCAGTTTCCAAACCAAGGAATCAGAGTTGTGGCTTTTGAAGAAGTATTATAGATCTTACGTACTAATTAAAAGGCTTGTGACCCTTGAGATGCACTTTATAATATCTCATGTAACGCTGTGTATGCTTGGATGCGTTGCTTGTCATTATTGTAGATTGTTGCACTCTAGTAGCTCCGGATATTCTGTGCAATTAGTGAACCAGTGCCAACCTGGGTAGAATCATGAAAAGAGAAACATTATGAACGGTAGCTTTCAGCTTGATACGTTCTGTTTTGAAACATGGTATATGTTCTTAAAATCACTATCACCGAAGTATTACTATTTAAACTCACTTACATGAAGGTAAAAACAAGTGGATTAATTAACGAAGACAAAGAATTTGCATAAATTCTTGAGGTCAAATAATAAATTTTCATGACTCAAAACCAACTTCAAATTTTCATCATTTGGATCAAGTCGATGAAGTTTGTGTCACTTATAACAAAAAAACAAAAACAAAAAAAATCAAAGAATTATTTATAATGTTTTAATTGTAAGCTTCTTTGCTACATTAATATTTTTATATTGAAAGTTTGATTTCTGTTTTGCTTATGCAAAGTATCAAATAAAAACAACACAAAATAAATAAAAGTTCATTTCAAACTGCTTTTTTCAGTTTAAATTTATTTGCAACCATCAAAGGTTAAATTCAAGAATATGCTGTTTTAAGATAGCAAAACTCAAATTATGACCGTTTGTAATATCAGGTTAACTAAAAATATGATACTAGAAATTACTTTATTGAGTTTATCATTTGATCAAACTAGTAATTTTGACTTCGCAACTGTATTTTATGAAATGGTAATATGTAGAGAACTATGTTTTTTCAGTTGCATGATCTACAAGAGAATAGAATAGCAATTACAGAATTTTAAAATGATTTGTGTCATACATATTTCTAAAACATTTTGATACTGCAGATATTTTATTATTTTCCATGCTTATAATATAAAAACCGACATTGGAACAAAGTCAATACAGTGCTTCTTAGTTTGCATGCTTTCAGTTTTTTAAATCCAATAAATTTATGCATGATTCATTAATTTCTTTTGTGTTTACTATCAACAACCTCCTCTAGTTCAATATCCACAAATATTAGTTTCAAATCTAATAAATCGATTTTTACCTTTAAAAATGAATTTGGTAATTTTTAGTCATTTTGAAAAAAATACAAAGATAAATACATCAATAAAGTATAGAATTTATTTAATTATATGAATTTTAATTTGATATATGTTTTTCAATATATATATGTATAAAGATTGTGATTACATACTTCTAAAAACTTAATGAAACAAATCGATATTTTACAAAGAAATCATAGAAGTTAAATATTAATTACATACTTAATTAATCAAATAGATAAGATTGAATTCTTATAAAGTAAACTAAAGAAGGTTATGTTGAATACAAGTTGGATTTGAAATTATAAGATTAACAAGGCTCTAGAAAAAAAATTGACAAAAAGATATATATATATATATATATATATATATTAAAGTAAATAAATAAAAGTAAAAATAGAATAAGTTATATTATAGAGTATATTATTTTAGGTAAATTGCTATTGGTAAAAAGTGGATTCTTATTATATAAGAAGGCCAAGAAATAAGGTAGATGAATGAACAAAGGATCTTAAGGATGTAGAAAATATACTAAAAATATATTATAAAATTTGCTATTAATAGATAAGATAGCTATGAATAGTTTCAGTAGAATATTAGATGGATGTATTTATCTAAGGATGGAAGTTGTCTATTAGGGCAATAGCCACCACTTATAAATAATAGGTGTTCAAAGTAAGAAATATTGTATTCCATACTTTCTTTGTGAGCAATTTTGCTGATGCTATGTGTTGATGACTTCAAAGTTCTTTTTCTTCAATAGGTTATGGGCCTACTCACCTTTAATTGTGAGTTTTGATGTTCTTTGAAGTCTTTCTTCTTGTGAGGAGTAGATCTTATGGTTGTTGTTGATGTTAAGATTTTACTCTTATTTAGTGTTAAGTGCATTTATTATCTTAGAAGGTACCAATCACCTTAGAATGATGTTATAGAATACTAGTGTTGTGTTTTTTTGCTGAGTTACATCATTGATGCACTAATATTGTGCTTTTGTGTGCTAAATATTTTAAGAGGTTTTTTTTATAGTAATAAGAAGATATTTGTGAGATTGGATATGTTTTTGTGAGAGTTGAGAGTGATTAAAGAGTGAAATCACTAGTTTATTTACAAATGAGGCATTATGGATTTTTAAGGTAGCAAGTCCTTGTTTATTTAGAAAGCTTTATCTTTTCTTTCCTTCATTTTTTTTTATACACCTCTTAATTAGATATGGTTTCAAGTGAGGATGAGGGCTTGAGAGTCATTAAAAAATTTAGATGTGATAATTTCTACCATTAGAAGAAGAAAATGGAACTTTTGTTGAGTTTACTAGACCTTTAGAACATTGTTGATAAAAGTGAAGAGCCTGCAAGTGACAATGTTGATGTCAAGGTGAAGAAGCAGTACAAATGTTATGAAAGGAAGGCTTTTGGTATGATTGCATCAAATTTGGATGATGCCAACTTTTCACATGTGATTGCTAGCAATAAACTAGCAAAAGCTTAGAAGACTTTTCACAACATTTATGATAGTAGAAACTTTACTAGCATTCTATGGATAAGAAAGAAGTTCTTAAAAATAAAGATGAAAGCAGGAGATGACCTTATGGCTCATGTCAACAAGGTAAAAGCACTTGCAAACCAATTAATAGTTGTTGATAAGTCAATTAATAATAAGGACATTGTGTTGGTATTGCTCATGAAACTTTACAAGTCCTACAACTATCTCATTGTGGCATTAGAGTCTATTGACATGAAAGAGCTTATCATGAATTATATCACATCAAGACTTGTTCATGAAGTAACCAAGAGAAAAGAATAGGAGCTTCAAAGTGATGATTTGGCTCTATTTTTAAGACAAGAAAAAAATAGTTATTCTCACCAATGTAATAATTCAAAAATTAATATAAAAAATTATTATATTTATAAAAAATAATTTATTTTATTATGAATTATTAAAAAATTAAGAAAAGAGATAGGAAAAATATAAATAATACTAGTGATAATTTTAGTAGAGATAATTGCGCTTTTATGGCAAGTGAAAGAGCCTCCATGGCTTCCATATCCAAGTAGATTATAGATTTGGATGCTACTAAGCACATGACACCATATAAATATTCATTTGATACTTATGAAAAAATTCTAACAACAAATATTTGGTTGGAAGACAATGGCATGGTACAAGCCATTGGAATTGACTCTATTGTGGTAGAGATTATTATGAAGAACCAAATGAAGAGGATCAAATTGAAGGAAGACTTATATGTACTAAAAATAAAGATAAATCTTTTTTTGATAAGTAAACTTGTATCACATAGTTATAAGTTTCAATTTGATATAAATGGATGTTTGTGAAGACATTGGGTAGACAACATGTTGCCAAAGGTCTAAAAGATAGCACCTTCTACTTCATCAATTGTAAGAAAGTAAATATAGTTGAAGTGATGGCATTTGTTGAGTTTTCACAAAATCAAGATAAGTTTGGAATTTGGTATCAACAACTTAGTCATTTAAATACCAACAACATGAAAGAGCTCTAATCCATGGTAAGTAGCTTAGATCTTGGTCAATTCAGCTATAATGCCATGACACTTCCTTGTGAAAGTTGTATCTAAGGCAAACAACAAAGGACTTTATTTCCAAGAAGAGTTGTAATACATATTAGAAAATTATTAGAGATTATGTATTTTATTGTTTATAGACGAATGAAGATGCCATCAATTGAAAAAATAAGATATTTTGTCACATTTATTGATGATTCTTTAAAAGAAATATAGATTTATATCTTTAAAGCCAAAAATGAGTATTTTTCAAGGTTTAAGGAGTTTAAGGCATTTGTAAAAAAGCAATGTGAGTACAAGATCAAAATATTATACAGAAACAATGGAAGTGAGTATGTGTCAAAGTATTTTGATGATTTTTTAAAGATTCAAGGCATTACAAGACAAACATCTATTCCTTATATTCCATAATAAAATGAAGTTGTTAAAAAACAATTCCACCATTATGAAAATAGTAAAGAATATGCTTAAAGTACAAAATCTTATGCATAAATATTTGACAAAAGCAATAGTTATGACAATGTATACAAGGAATAGGTGCCTTACATGTGTACTTATATCAATGACTCCACAAGAATCTTGGAGTAGCAAGAAACCTTGTATTTTACACATGATTTTCAAATACATTACTTATACAAAAATATTAGATTGTATGAAGTCCAAACTTAATATAAAAGGTTCAAAATATGTATTTTTTGGATATTGTGAAAATACCAAGGCATATAAGCTTATGTATTTAGAAATGAAAAAGGTCATCAAGAATTGTGATGTAGAGTTTTTGAAATATAAGAGTACTTGTGAGCACTTGAAGATGTGTCCAAGTAGGAGTAATGGTGTATTTGTCAATACATCTTCAATTCTAGTGTAAAAAATAAAAAAAAAATAAAAAAATAAAAAAAAATGATGAAAATGAAGATAGTAAAGGTATGAATGAAGATAAAAAGCCATGGAAGGTAGATGAAAGTATATCTACAATTGCTAGAATCACCAACGAAGACAATTAAGTTATTGAAGATAATGATGATGATACGGAGTATCAATTATTAATTGTGAAGAGACAAGCTTTAAAAAAGAAGAAAATTGCAAAAGACCTTAGAGTGCAAGAAGCTGAATCTTCATCAAGTAAAAAGAGATATCCTTTGAGAAATAAAAAAATAACTTAGTGGTTGATGGATGAATCACATTTTTTCTCAAGTAAGTAAAAAATATGCCAATGTTACACTCTTTACTAATCTATTGAATTTATATAATGCAATGAACTTCACAGATGCTATAAAGTGAGAGAATGCTATGGAAGAAGAATATAAATTACTTATGAATAATAGAATATGGAAAATGAATCAACTTCTATGAAATTGATTTTCAATTAGTTGTAAGTAGGTGTTTTAAACCAAGAAGGATGCAATAGATAATATTATGAGATATAAGAC